TGTGACACCACAGAGCAGGTTAAGTCAGGCATCTTTTATTCCCACTCTTCGTCTCAGTGACTCTTGCATTTCCGCCATTCTTTCACAGACACACAAAGGACTCACTCTAGGCTTTAGCGTTTACTAAACTCTAGACCTCACTGGAATCTCAGATCTCCTTCAGGAGGTCAGTGGAGGAGATGCTGACACTCCAATTTAGTGATGTGAAACTGAGTTGAGCAATTGATGGGATCTGTCATTATCACAAGGAGACTGATGAAGTCAGGACTTGGACTCACGTCTTCTGCTTCTGGTGTCTTTTCTGTAGCTGTGTTGGGGCAGGAAGGGACTAGAGTGTCTAGAGCATCACCCTGTAGGTAGGATGTTACCTGCTGCTCATAGTAGGCTGTTATCTGCTGTAGGGTACACTGCCTTCTCTATGATCCTGGAGAGAATTCAGAAGCCTGCAGAACTCACCGTGTGGTGCTAAACCAGAACACCAGGCTGTACTCTAAGACTTGTCAACAACTTCTCCATTATAAAGCCATCTTCCCATCCTGTGAGTTTCCTGGGCCTGCTACCCTAACGTTGTGACACTATCACAATAGGGCCCATTCTCCCTTGACTCCTCCCCTAAGTCATCCTGAAACTAACCACTGCTAGGCAGCCCTCAATATCTTATTGTCTGTTCCTTCTCCCTGGGAGAATTTAATTACCTGTGGTCACCATAGATACAGTTTCTTCTTAAGTTTTCAATTTCCTTTGGGAAACAGTGTTGAGATGTGTTTGCCTGAGCCCTGCCTGAAATGCCACATGCCATGGAGAGAAACTGAAGTAATACAAGCTGCATTGTCTACACTCAGACTTGAACTTCAGCTCCAGGAACATGGGTGGGGTATGGTAAGTACTGTTTATCAAACCTCAGGCTCTCAGCCCTGATTCTGTGACTTTTAGTACCGTGGGTTTACCTTGGGATCAGCTTCTTTCTGCCCATTTCTTCTAAGAATATTCTCTTTTTGGAGGACAGAGTGTTTATCCCCACGTCCCTCTCTTTCTGGAGGGTGGTTTCATCTGTGGCTTAGGGACTCTGGCGGCATGTTCCCTCCCCTCTCTGGGCATGCAACCCCTTTAGCGATGACACAGTTAGATACTGCTGACTCCTGAACGCCATCCAGGGGAAACACAAACTCAAAACAAGGGCTGCTTCAGCCTGAAACAGAACACCGGTGAAACCCGGAGTTGGTCTCGCCTGTTCCCGGTTTACTTGGAAAAACTCCTACAAGGAAGCAAAAATAAATGAAACTCTGCAGGCCCTTCCTTCCTTCGAGCTGCCGGAGAGGACGCTAGTAGGATATACAGCCTCTATTTTAAATGTTTCTAATTGCTTCTGTGTCTAGCTGCCAGAAGCTCAAGAGGATGAAAACACAGAAACCGAAAACCTTATATTAAAAAAAAAAATGAATATTCTTCCTTCTATTTCCTTTGCTGGAGATGAGCTTTCTGTGAGCTTCAGTGAGCAGCAGGTCAGCGGTCGGCAGACTGATGGGGAAGAATTGTGACAGAATCTGTGTCTTGAAGCTCACTGTGGGGACTGTCTCTCTCGGTCCTGTCCTTTCTCAAAGGAATCCTAGCTTGGAGAAGACAGGAAGTGGAAATTTTTAGCCCTAACATGTTCCAGAATGTAAGCACTCGTGGCTTCGAAATGCATTAGAGTCCTGGGAAGAAAGTGAATTTATTAGCCCATTGATTCACAGGTGCAAGGGACTCACAGGAGAGAGCTGCACTTAGTGGGCTTCTCATCGATTTCTTTTGGCCAATGCCCCTCTGAAAAGAAGCGGCTGTGATTGAGAGCCTAAAGAGGAGCTTTCTGTTGGTGCTGCTTGGTTTTCTTGGTGGATTAGAAATAAGATCATTGACAGAGTTTTTACAGGAAAAAAAAAAAACTAAAACATGCAAGAAACTAGCTATTTTATTAGTGGCTAAAATATATTTACAAAACCCTTTAGCAACATCAACATAATTGCTGGCTTCTACATTTTTGAATTTTACTTGGCCTGATTTGGGGGCATCATATTAGATGATTAGAGATTCTTTTGTTCGTGGCTTGCTAAAACATTTATCTTTCCCTCAACATTTATAAGATAGATGGTAATATTTTGGTGTTCACTGACCCTCCAGCACAACAGGCTGAAACTGGGATTGATAAACTCATTTGAAGATAGATAAAGATTAAAGTTATGTTCCAGCACAACTGTCCCGAATTTGGCTACAAATAAGCAAGTGGAAATTGTGATTTGACCGAACATTGTGACTCTGCTCCCAGGCTGTCTCGCTTTGGCTTGTGACCAGAGGGCTCTGAACGAGACATGCCAAGCAGTATGGTGACACGGGTTTTAAATGTTCTCCATGTTGTCATACACCCCTCTCTAATGCCACCTAAATACTTACTCTTCCACCAGCAAGAGGACATCTTAGCAAATGTCAAGTGTCATTTATACCATTTTGGGTGATTATATCAATGAATGTCTTGTATTACAAGTCCATGTACTTTAGCCTAAATAATAATCAACAAATTTATATATTTGTTATTACAAAGACAGATAATAATCTGAAAATTGACCAGATTATCCTGATTAATCCTCAAGAACACTTTATAAGACTACCTTTTAATCAGTTGACAAATTCCAGCTGAGGAATTCAATTAACTTACTAATGTATGACTTCAGAGTCTGAGTTCTGAATTAATTATACTCATTTGAGGCCTAATTGTCAGTGTAGCAAGCTTCTGAGTTGGTAAAGAACATTCAAGGGGCTTCCTTGCTGAAGACTCAAGTTCTGTCTGCACACCTGTGGTCAGCAAGCATCCCTCAAGAAGGAATGACAATTCCATCACAGGATTAGCTGGTATCTCCAGCTCTACCTCTTAGAATACATAAGTTTTGCCCAAGAAGGAAAGTGCAGAAGCAGGCAGCCTCAGTGAGAGGAAGGGAACAAGGATGGGAAGATGATAACGTGTCTGAAATCTCTTCCTGCACTGTGCTGGCGCAGAGTCTGTTCCATGGCCAATGCTTCTCTGGTTGTAGACAAAGACAGCACAGCGAACTATGACTTCATGTTAGATTAGAAGAGGAAAGTTAAGATTCCAAGCATAGAGAAATATCTTTCAAGTAAAAACTGTTGACTAATAAAGAAATGAAAGGAGATGACTTCACTCCACCTTGGAATCCACTGATCCCCAGTGTTCTTCATGCTAACAATATAGCTTTCAGAGAGTTACAAACAAACAAAACAAATACTCATAGGAGGAAATTAGGATTTGGGGTGTAAATCTGCTTTGTTGTTGCCATTGTGTTTGTTTGTTTGTTTGTTTTGTTTTGTTTTTCTATTTTCTGTTTACTTTCTTCTTTTTTTTTAAGGTTGAAAATGAAAATAAAATGTTAAGTTCTTTAGGGCCACTAGTGGGAAACATTGGCAGCTTGTGGTTGAGAAACCAAGCCCTAGATAGGAATTCTCGTTTCATTTCTCTCCCTCCCAGTGAAGAGAAGCAAAGGCCAAGGGATCGTCCACACCCAGGAGGAAACTCCCTCTGCTGAACAGCTTGGTACCTGCTGGAGAAACTCCCTAAGTAAAACCCACAACCCAGAACATTCCCAGGCACTTGCTAACCTTCAACGTGTTGCAAGCACGAGCTGCCGCCAAGGAGAACATGGAAAATAATGTTCCACCACTGAGGGGAACCCTACTGGATGTCCAAAGAGCTCGTTCAACAGTGAGATTCCCAGACTGATAGAGCCACCGGCCTCAGCAGCATCACAGGGCCCTCAACCAGTTACCACTTGGTGAGCAGCTTTGGAGCCACCTCCAGTCTCCAATATCCAAAGCCAACCAAGGTGTAGAAATGCAGATGTCCTCAGAAGGATAATACCTAGTAAAATAAAGTCTGCTCGTGTGTTGTTGGCCTACAGGATTCAGTGGCCAGACGATTGGGGTGACTCCAGCCACCCCAAGCATCTTCTACTATGGATGTTCACCAGCATTCGAAGAACCGAGTCAGCCCCCTTAAATGGGTAGTAAAGGAGTAAAGGAAGAGACAGACAACTTAGCACACCAGCAGGACTGTTTGTTTGCGTTTCTGTTTCTGTTTCTCTCTTACCTTTGCTCTTCATGGTAGAGGGGGCCTCCCTGATCCCAACTTCCACTTTCCACAATTTTAATCACCCGTGACCACCTGCCACCCAAACTACTAAATGGAAATTTCCAGGAATGAGTGATTCTCATGTTTTAAATAACTGTTGATAACACATTATCACACTTGTTCTATTTACTATTAGAGCTAATGTCTCCCTGAGCCTACCTTCTATACTATGCCTACTTTATTATAGCTGTGTTTATAGATTTGGAAACTATTGCAAGTGCAGGCATATACTCAGGGTACCAGACGTGACCTCTGTAGAGAAGAGATAGAACTCTACAAAGGCAAGGTTGGACAGGCATGCAGTACAGCTGTGAGCATTGTCTTCTTGTCCTCAACATTGCATCATAGCCAAGAGTCTTGTTTCCGCCAACTAACCTGGATGCTGGTTGCAGTCTGCCTATAGAATGGGGTTCTTTGCTCAGAAATGACTTTTATTATTGGCTTCCACCATTACGTTGCTCTACATCCCAGTTCCCCTCTTCTAAAATGGCATCGATGTCCAGAAGGAAATCAGGAGCGTTTAATGGGTTCCTGTAATCCTTAGATACTATTAACTATTTTGGGAAGAAGTCCTTGGCACTTGGATTTCTGTTGCTATGTAGATGGAATCCAGAAAGAAAGGTGCGGCATCTTCTCCTTCTAAAGACTAGGTTGTACACATAACTCTGCACAGGTGCATTGTCGTGACCCCTCTCTGCCTCTGACCTCCAGGTGCTGAGTGAGGACCCAGTCACCCCCTCTCTGTGAAGCATAAAGGTCTTTCTTCCTTTGATCACTGCCTCCAAGAATTTTATGTGTGTTTCTTCCCTCCTCTGAGCTTATCATGTTCACTTGACAGCGTATGGTTTTTATTAAAATAAAGATATTGTATGATTTACAAAACACATTCTCTTTTGGATTCCCAAGAACAATGGGCTTCTTTGATTTACATCTCCACTCTGGCCATAGGAATCTGGGTGATATCACTCATGCAGGGAGAATCTGGAGCAAAGTCATGAGGTCGGAGTTGATATCCATAGGTCATGTTAAAGGACAAGTCCTTTCCCACCAAGTGAAAGCAGGCCATGTGCTGGCTTCAAGTCATATCTCAGGACATCGATTTTGACATCTGGAAAATACTATTATCTGAAGACCACACCTTCTCTAAGATCCCTTCCCGCTCAAAAACATTGCCTTCTCGTCAACAGGTAGCAAACGCTGTGACAGCTAATTTTAGGAAAACTGGTGAAAAGGAAAACAATGAGAAAAAAGTCACAACTGGTAAAGGGCCAAAGGCAAAATGATCAAACTATCCTCCCCTTGTTCTTTGAGCCATAAGACTAAACACACATGTTCATGTGTAATATAACTCACAGGCAAATTTCCTAGCCCATCTGAAGAAATACAGGGGCACCTAGAACTTAAGAGAGTCAGAGAAATTTGTAGCAACAGATGTATGTGATTCAATCAGATGCGCATGGCAGAGATGGGTAAAGCAGTAATGGTCAAAGGCTCTTTACTAAATTGAATGCCATGGGTCTAGCTATCTGGCATGGGAAGTAGCATTTCAGAAATGCTTATGCACTTGTAGATGTCCAGGTAGAAGACAGCGAAAGAGTAAGGCAGGAGGAGAGAGAAAGTGGTTGATAAAATTGTCAAGCTGAAGTGTGGAGTTCAAGGTCAGGTTTGGAATAATCACCATGAAAAACTCATCTGAAGAATAGTTACTAAACTCCAGGGCCCAACATCACAACTTCAGATTCAGGGCAGATAAATCCTTTTGTTCATTTCATTGCTAATTAACTGGGCCTCTTACATTTCTCAAGTTTACTTTTAAATTAACACTCTAATTACAAAAATAGTGTATAAATCATTGTTCAAAGATGAACTCCTATAACGTAGATTGCATCTATTCATATCACTGATTAAATATAACAATGTTGCAACAAAGTTTACCTCTCATTTGAGGTATGTTACTGTATCTTTGCAAACAGAAGAGTTAAAAAGGAATTAAAGCCAAATATATTCAGCTTGCAAGGTGACCAACCTGCCATGGGACCTTTGTCAGTGTCCCAATCTGAAAACTCTAGGACCTGAGCCAAATGACTTCAAAGGTCCCTGGCAGTTCTAATTGGTTGCTAATTGATTGTTAATTTCAGCCTATAGGAATAGGAATTGCTAACCAATCACACATAGTTCTTGACATATGGCATATTTCAGACGGTTGTAACAGAAGGTTCCTATATATTCTAAGTGATGAATTCTTTGTTCTTTGGTTCTTTTAACAGCAATGAGATTTCCTAATGGCTTCCATCATTGCATATCTCCAAATCCCAGTACCGCCCCCTTGATGTCTGTAAGAAAACCAGGAGAACTTGGTAGATTTCTGTAATCCTTTGATATGGCTGACTGTTCTGGGGAGTTAAGTTCTGTGACACACCAAGGCACAAACAAGTATGTGGCTCATCCTTCAAGTTTGTTTGGAAAGTCATCCTGTTTTATAGATAGGTGTCCAAAAGCTTCAAAAATGCAAAGTCAATAGCTCTGTTCTCAACTGTGAGAATTTTTGTTTTATGGTGATAGAAGAGAGACTCTGGAAAGATCCAACAGCCTTAGCGTAGTGAACTATTTTTTATGGAGCAAAGGACTGTGGGATTTGTAGTGCTCTCTGCTATGTCTGTGCTGGGCTATCCATCTGGACCCGGTTGCTGATGTCTCCTCCTCGGTCTGCTCTCCAGACTCGTACTCCTCATCTACTGCGTAGAACAGTGGCTTGGGCCGGATGACGTCCCGCCTGCCCCATCCAGCATGCTCCTCGCAGCTGCTGTTGCTTCGGTAGCTGAAGCTGAGGGCCTTTTCTCCTCTGTGAAAACTCTTCATCGGGATCATTGCTTGGCTCTGCCGTCTTTCCTGAAGGGACCCTGCTCTCTGGTGTGCTCTGAACATTAAGGGCTGGAGTCCTGGATCGATGCCGTCATCATCTAAGAAGACATCATGACAAGAATGGAAAGAAAACGTGAAATCGGAGTTAAGACTTCATGCCCAGGTGCAAGAAGGGTCAAGACTGCAGCTCCTGCTCTCTGCTTCATGGCTAACGTGGCTTTCCCTTTCAACACCACAGCCTCAGAGGAACGGGGTGGGCAGTGCTATATGCTTGGTGCTGTAAATAAATGAAGATGCATGGAAACCTGTGCGTCTAGCCAGTCTCCCCTAGATTTGTAGCAGAGTAGCTTATCACACTAATGGATTAATAATAACATAAAGCATATACTAGAAAAAGTTTTGTCTTCTAAAAGATAAATGCTATACTAAAAAAGTTCTGTGAAAGTGGTTGGGATTTTTTTTTCCCCTGTGTGTTTCTGTTTGTTGAGACAAGGTCTCATCCTGTCATGTCGAATGGCCTTGTCTTGTCTTTCAAAGGGCTGAGATTACAGATGTGAGCCCCATGCCCGGCTCCTGGTTTGATGCTTAATTGGTCGCTTTCTGAGAGCTTTACATCTGAGTTTCACTGCCTGGACCTTGAAAATGTAATCTTGGAGAAACAGAGACGGGAGGTGGGGGAAGAGTGGGGAGTCAGAAAAGATCCCAGGCAGTGGCAGATGCTCCCCTGTCAATGGAGTCGATTGCGAGCAGACTGCAGTGGTGCACGATGACATGATGGGGCTGTGTGCCTGTCTCTGTCCTTCTCGTTTTGCATATTTTATGCCATCTAATTACCTTAATGGCCCTGAGAGATGTATAAAACCATTGCCCTCAAATCCTATACAAAGTGCCTAAAGTTATTGTTCAAGAGGAGGTGACTTTCAGTATGATACAGCTGGCAAAAGTGGGGTTGGAGCCATTCCCCTGTATTCTCAGGAGGTAGATGAAAACTCATACATGCTCTGGTCTCTCATATAAAATGGCACAGCGTTTGCATATAACCTATGTACACCCTACAATTTCATTTAAGTAATCTCTAAACCGCTTGTAATACCCAATACATTGCAAATGCTAAACAAATATTTGTTTTATTGCATCTGGGGGGTAATAAGGGTGAGAAAAAAAGTCTTCTTAGATGCAGAAGTCAGCTGTTCGTATCACATGTATGCTGCTAAGGCTGTGTTATGAGGCGCAGGACCACCAGGTATCCATGTGATGCCCTGTTTTTGAGTCATTTTAAGATTTCTATCCTTTCCTAAAACACAGCGCCTTTTCCTCCCCTTCACCGAAGGAGCTTTTACACAAATGTCATCGATTGTTTCTTCCAAGCTTTAGACTCATGGATTTATTTTTCCCTGACATGTTCTCTTCAGACTTTCACCATTTTCAGGCATTTATTTATAAATCTGGAAATTGTTCTTTCTCCCACATTCCATCCCCACCCCCTAAAAATGCAAAAAGAAAATAAAGTCAAAAGAAGCGACATAAAATTAATACTGTATGTCTAAAGGCTTGCACTCAACAAAAAATATGCATATATTACTAGACACAAGAAAAGTGTAAAAACCCTGCTCAGAATTGTTTTTCCAAAATGCAGCCAGATCATCACGGGCAGGTAGCTGGGGGCTGACATAGGGATGCTCTACTGGAGGTAAAGATAATCTATTTTCTGGTTTTCCTTCCCAATTCCCACTTAACTGGTACTGAGACCACACCTTCTCTAATATCCTTCCAGCTCAAAGTACTGAGTGGAGCTCGTACCTCCATTCCTTCCTCCAGCTCTTTTGGTATCTGTAAGACTCTCTGAGGTGTGGACACTCGCTTCCATCCACAAACCCTGTCTTGTGTTTCATTCTACCCACTCCTCCTGAGGAAGAACTCTCCGTGAGTGGACAGAGGCTAGCCAGTCTTGCTACCCCTTTCGAGGTTAATGTAGAGTGTAGCCCAAGCATTTAGAAGAGGCTTGCCAAGTTAAGCTCAACGTAAGTGACTAGCTCTGCCCAAAATGTGAAGGAACGTTCTGTAATGGAGAAGATGGAGGAGAGAGGATGGGGCCTATACTTGGTCCTCGTTCACATGTTTACCTGCACGTGAGCACCCAGTACTCTTGTCCCAGAGAAGGACAGTGGCTACCTCTCAAGTAACATGTGAGTATCTTTACCATCCTCTGGACTAACAGGCTTAATTACCATGGCTAAAGGAGAAACAGGGAAAGTGCTTTTACTTGGGTCAGGGTGGAGCCAAAGCCTCAGGGGATTAGCTACTTGGTACAATTTGCATTGCTTAGTGACTCAGACCCAGAGAGCAATACTTCCTTATCTCTTCATTTCCAAAGGTATATATACACATATATTTTTAAATATCTATTTAATATATATTAAACCATTTCAACCATTTCCAAGTACAGTTCAATGGCACCCAGAGCCTTCCTGCTTCCCTGTAATCCTCACCACCATCCATCTCTAATTCCATTGGCTTAAAGCTGCCTCACACGCAAGAGAGGTTTTAGGGTGGGATCTCCGTAATTATGATAAAACATGAGCCACAAAGGTATAGGAGCCTTGAAAGAGTATGCAGGTCTCTAAAACCATCATGAAATTCACAGACATCCTGCCAGGGGCATGCAAACCTTGGCAGCCCTACAAAGAGCCAGGAAAGAAAGTGTTACCATAGATTCACAGTGGTTGGCCAGGCTACCTGGTTGAGGCAACCCCATGCCACCCACGGTCTCCTAGCTAGACTATCCCTCTCCTCCAATGGATGCTCCACACCCAGGAAAATGGGCATCACAAATTAGAGTTGGTCAATCACTTTAAATTTAAAAAAAGGACATGATATGAGGGTGGTGATGGTGATACAAGACAGGGTATCTGTAAGGAACTATAGGAAGGAGTGGGACAAATATGATTTAAATATATTGTGTGACATTTGTAAAGAATTAGCAAAGTATTATAAGATAAATGTTAGAGTTCCTTCACCAATTAAATCTGATGAATACATAAATTCATTTCCAAGCACCAAACAACTCCTACCTTCTGGAATGAAGCACACACTGCAAGATTTAGTATTTAGAGTGACTGCGTGACTTCACTGTAATGCTTCTTTACACTTGCGCATCCGTCCCCCAAGAACCTGCCTGATGTCAGCCCTGGGTCAGAATCCTGCAGTACTGATGACCATGCCAGAGGAGAGCTGTGGCACATCCTTGTTTTCTATTCACTTAAATGATGAGATTTATCTTGAGTTATTAGACTAAGAAAGAGATTCTAAAACCCATCTGTTCATGTCCCATGTTTGTGTATCTCTTTTTAATTCCCTTTACTTTTGTTTGTGAAATGCCTTCACGATATGAAATGACACTAATTACCAGAGAGTCATCAGGAACAGACAAGATTAATGAAACAAAATTACTAGTCCAAAGCCCTCTTCAGAAGGAAGGAATTTAATGTAAAGGTGGCCTTTCATTTTGTAGAAGAAAAGATGGTGTTAGAAGGAACATAGTCATAGCAAACAATCTGAAGGGTACACTTGACTTACTCCATATGCAAAGAAAAGGCTCAAGATGGTTTGAAATGTAAATAGATTTGCTCTGTGCAGTTGACTTGTATTTTATCATTAAAAACTAAATTCCTACCTTTGAGATGAGAAATATGTCTTCTCTGGGACACTGTCAAATGAACTAGGAAATTTAGGGTTGGCAAGGGGAGGGAGAAGAGACAAAACACTCACCGGTGTTTGATGTAATATATAGGACGGTAGAATACTGGCTCTGTGAAGGTCATTGTAACACAGAGAGAGACCTACAGAAGGATGTAAATGTTCTGTAGTGATTACACCTGAGTCTTTAAAAGTCTGCTTAACTCTTTTCATTGTGTTTTCCCAGTGATGGAGTTGGGTTTGACAAGAAGCCATTTTAAGCAAGAAAGACAACCAAAAATCCCTTTAATTCAAAGAATAATCATATTTCCTATAATAAACAATTATTTTAAGGTCCTGTGCCTTTAGTTTATTTGGCTACCCAAAGTGATTTTTAAGGTTTAAATGAGTATAAAATCAAGTGGGTATCATGGCATATGATTGTATTATATATTACCCTTTTCTAACAGACATCATTTTGATATGTATTTGAAACACAGCAAATTTATTAGAAAAATGAGCTTTTTCAATACCTATGAATGTCAGTTATGTGTTGAATGGGTAACTGTTAATATGACTAAATCACCCCAATAAAGTTAACCTAATATTTAAATTGCACTGGACCCTTACAATTGCCCAAAAGTGATCCTTTTAATCATATTTAAGACACCAGTGAAGAGATCATGTGACCTGCCAATCATTGCCACACTCTAAATGGCTGGGAAAATTAAAACAGGATAGTAGTCATGACAAAATTGCGATGAGTTCAAACTTCTATGCCCATAAATAAAATTCTGAAATTTATTTTCAAAGGATGCTTTCATTTTTTTCTCATTCAAGTTTCTACTTAATAGTCCTGATTGTGCCTCTTGGCCCTCACGTCTCCAAATCTTCACCATCTGACCCTGCAAAGGGGAAACAGCAGCCAAGAGTGGGTTACCTGTGGATTCAGCAGCTCTTGCTTCTCTCCTTGCTGACAGGGGATTGCTGTAGGGGAAGGAGAGGTAGCGAAAGTTCTTGGTGCCCACCTGTGGGTAATGAGAAGAAGCAAAAGCAGAATGAGTTGCTGCAGTTTCAATTGGCACACAGTCAGTAAAGGGAAAAAGGCATTTCATCATTTAGTTACATCATTGATTTAAAGGAAGCAAAACACTTCTGACCTTAATATCTATTCCTCTCTCTCTCTCTCTCTCTCTCTCTCTCTCTCTCTCTCTCTCTCTCTCTCTCTCTCTCTCTGAAAGAACTCTTGTGAACCTTTCAGAGTTACTCTCATAGCCTTGCTCAGGATTAGATTCAGGGTCTGTTCTAGACCCTCTGTCTGTCCAGGAGTCCGTATATGTTGAACAGGATACAGCCTCAACGAGTAAGATGGTAGGGGCTCACTGGAGATGCGAGGAGACTTGGGAGACTAGCCAAAAGCAAATCCTTCTATTCAAAGTCCCGAGAGAAGCTTTGGTCTGAGGAGGAGTCCTCAGATGTTCAATACGTTGCCACCGTGGGTTCTGGACGCAAACTCAGCTCAGGGACCACATGATGTCTCTGATCTACCTTGGAAAGCACCTCCCCAACATACTTCCTTCACAGATGCTCGAAGTCCCGGAGTTCCGGATCCAGAGACAGGGGCTGCTTTGGTACATTGCCCCCTATGACTTTTTCATCTCTCTGGTAGCATGTGAGGTTTGAGTACTTAGTACGTGATAACAGTGATTTACCCTCAACTAACGAGGCTCTTGCCCCGAGGGCAGTCCCAGTTATTAGGCGGCAACTTACACTTACCGGCTTTCCCCAGGGCAGACTCTGCCCTTTCCGCATGCTCTCCCTCAAGGTGTTCTGGCGGCGGATGAGAATCTCCTGGGCCTGCTTCTCACTTGTTTGGGGCTTGAGGTTGTATTTGTTGTAGGACAGAGTCTGCAGGAAGAGCATAATAATAGGCAGGTAAGAACTCCAGTGCTACCTGGGGCCCCAGAAGCATCCAGAAACTTCTAGAGTGGGTAGACGGAGCTCCTGGGCGAGCTTTGCCCCTAGAATGACTGAGGCAGCCTCGTGTGAGGAAAGCCTGCAAGCAGACTCTCCTCTTCAGCTTAGCTGTGGCTGTGAACAGTGCCTTCAGAAATCCCTGCAGCGGCTGTATCACCACCTGCAACCCGACCGGAGACCTCCCCCAACTGTGGCTGCCCTGCGCACATGTGTTTTTTCCCGGGGCCATTTTTATATTCTAGGCCTTCAGGGTTAATGGGTAAGAAAAATATCAAAAGTAAATTTTGGATTTCCCACTAAGGTTCTGCTTTTCATTTCTCTACACACAAGCACCTGCATGCATACTGAGGTGAGCCTGCAGCATCCAGCGGGTACTTTCCTGGGATCAATGCAGATGGAAGGGACACAATAACTAAGGGAGAAACTACAAAGCAATTTGAAGGGAAGGTAGGGAGGACCCCAGGAGAAAGTCCACCAATGAGTTTGTTATTGTGTGACTGAAACACAGCATCCAAAGACAGTGAGTAGAAGCAAGGAAAGGTGAGACGATTCCTAGGGATAAGAAGTGAAAGTAGACATACATACTTCCATTTTCTTGTTTCTTACCAAACAAAGCAAAAGAATTTAGGCTTTATAGTACATAATATATGGTACATAATACAGTGTTCATAATGAGCCAGGTGCCTACCCAGCCCCAAGGGGATATGGTTAGTTTCCTATTTGAATGAAAAGAGTATTCCTAACAGAGAGCTCACTGTGACTTTGTGTGTTGAATTAGACTTCACTTTACTGTGTTCTACTAAATGTAGACCCAGGTTGCCGATAGGTGATTTTCACTATCTATTAATGAAATCAATATTCTTCAAACAGGAAGCTATCAAGAAGGACTTTTCAGGTCAAAGGAAGAAGGAAAAGCCCACTGACTCTGCTCCACCTCGCAGCTCCTTATCCACCACTTTGGACAAGCACAGTGCTCCAACAATTTGTGGGGAGGGGAGAGAAGAACTGTGAATACAATTTGACATGAGGCTCTTGCCCATCTTCTATAAAGATGAATCAAACTTAAGTACATTTAATAAGCTTTTATATTCCTACATCCCAGATTAGGAAGCTTTGCTTTAAGTAACATTTGGACTATTTTGCCTGATAAACCATTGTCCATGTCAATTTGGCCTTCTGCAGAGAGCACAGGAGTTTCTACACACATAGTGTACTATGCTAGTGTCTTTTCTTCCTTCTTTTTCTGTCCTTTTTAGAAGGAATCAGTGCCTGGATGAAGCTGGTTCATTCTCACTAAACCTTGAGCTCTGCTGGAGAAAGAAGGCTTTACTATGTACCTAGACCATGAACATGTTTGGTGTGTGCAAGCTATAACAACACAGAACAGAACCGAATTAGAATATATTACTCTCTTCCTTCAAAAGTCCGTAGAAGCTTGGAGAGCAATAGAGGGCCTGTGCTGAGGCTTGTTCTATGATAAGTTTAGGGTGTGCCTTTCTCTCTCCATTCCACTGTGTTGCAGTTTATTCTGTGGTTGTACCATTGGAAACCTCCAGAAGCTAGTCCTTCACCTCCCCACCCATATAGATTCTATCCTGAACATGCTAAGAGGAAGTATTTTTAAAAGATGTGTCCAGAGTCCCAGCTCAGTTTCCTATCAACTGTAACTTAGGATCACCCAGAATCTTACCATATACTCTGCCTGGCCCTGCCCCAAAGTGAGGGCTAAGTCCCTAAGACAAACTCTTCTAAAGCATGCAGTGATAAATGTCTCCAGCCATCTGTCTTGCACCTCTTGTCCAGACTTGAGGACCACAGATGACTTCTACACAAACTCTCTGTCAATCCTTCAAGCTGTAGACTGTCTGCTATAAGCAGTGGATGTCTGTCCAGTTGCTCAGGGTAGCATTTCCAGGAGAGATTTTCCTTTGAAAGAGTAGAAAACTTTCTCAACCCTACAAATGCTAGAGGTGGGTGAACAAACAGGTGTGTTGTCAGTTTTTGTGAACTTGACACAAATTGGAGCAATATGGAAAGAGGACATCTTAGCTGAGGGATTGTGTTTATTATATTGCCTGCAACCAAGGGTTTGTAGGCATTTTCTTGATTCTTGACTGATGAGGGAGGAGCCTAGCCCACGGTGGGCCATGCCATCCCTGAACAGGTGGTCCGGGCTGGTATAAGAAAGATAAGGAAGCAAATCATGGAAGCCAGGGAAAGTGAGCCAGGAACCAAAGCTTCTCCATGGTTCCTGCTTCGCTCTGTTTAGTTCTTGCCCTGACATCCCTCAGTGATGGGCTATGAGTGGGAAGTGTAAGCCAAATAAACCCCTTTTACTGAGTTACTTTTGGTCATAGTGTTTATTAAACTAGAATATTAGGGAATAGGGACTGGTGAGTTCTATTTTCAATGAATTGAACATAGAGGTGACCAGGTCCCCGCAGCCTATCACTGCACTCAGTCCACTGATTTTACTCTGATTTGATTCCACTTGACACTTCACAACAAATCCGTGAATGAAAAGGGGCCGACATACTCAAATTCAGAAAAATTAGGAAGGAAGAGTGACGCTACCTAGTTTAGAAGAGAGAACCAGGTGAAAGAAGACAGTGGCTATCTGTGTGTCTACAGCTGGGGAATAAAAGAGAATGTGAACAATGAATCATTTCATCAGAACATATTGGAGTTTCAGGGCTCCAACCTCCTTCCCTGTATCCCTAAGGTGGGGAAAACATCCAGTACCAGGTACTCAGTGAGCCTGGATCTCCCTCAGCTCGCCATTCTTCCCACCGGGAAGTTCTTATCTACGTAGGGAAGGTGAAATGCGATAGTCTGGCTGGAACAGTTTCACTTGGAATGATTTGAAAGTCATTGAAATTTACCCTAAGAATATTGTCCCAGAGCTGAGCTATATATATTCCTTCGGCCTTTTCTTTCTTTGACACAAACTCTTTAATTATCAACCTTCCTGACCCAGAACCACAGAGAGCACCGACCTTCACTGGCTGTGTGAGTCCGGAGTCCTAGAAAGAACACTGGCTCGGGGCTCAGCAGAAACTCTTAACTTGTATTTACTTTATCACCTTGAATAAATTCAATCATTAAGATTGTTAACCCCAACATTTACTAGAAAACAAATAGTTTTGACTAGATAATTTCTTAATCCCATCCAAAGCATGATCTATGGCATTACCCAAAACAAACATCCTCACGAGAGACATACTTAATCACAGCAAGAAATAGAATGGACCAACGAGTCACCGAACTTGAAAAGTCTTTTTCAGGGATGACATTGACTTAACTGTCATTAACTCAGAGTCTCTGAAGATCTCTCCGCCAAACTCTAATGACGAAAGAGTCCAGACCAAAGCACCGAGACGCCAGTATTTCTTTTTTGTCTGGCTTCCAGCATTGTAGCTTCATGATTCTAACCCAATAAGTGCTGTTTGTTGACTTTCATATAGTGGATCCCACTGAACATCTCGAGGCACAACAGGATCCTGGTGCCATGTTTTTCTTACACTGCAGGAGGATGGCTGCATGTCTTCCCTTTGAGGACAGGGAGACCTGTGGGTTCTGAAAACTCTGGCTACAGGGCTGGGGCAGCCTGACCCCTAGAGCCAGAAACTGGATTTGCATTTCTTCTTAAGCCCCTGGTGCCAACCTGGCAGCTGACAGCTAGCTCTCTGTTCTCCAAACCCAGCAGGCCAGCTGCTTGAGAGGACACTGTGAACAAGACCAGGCTCCTGAAAGCCTGCAGAAGCAGAACAAGGCAGGGCAGGGCAGGGGGCAGTGCAGAGGGCTCATGCTTGCTTACTCTTTGTCGAACTTGGTACATGTTTCTTGTCAGAATGTCCCGCATGGACTCCACGTCTTCAGGGGAAAGCCTCTTGGTTCCCTGTATCCTCTCGGGCCTGGAAGCACCATGGGAAAAAAGCCATTATTTTTCTACTTGGACAAGGAGTGCCATGAAGATGCAATGGGCTTTGCCCCGTCCTATCCTGGCGGAATTCCTAAATTCCAGGATCGTATTTGCCCATAATCATTCCTGCCACCCTGGCAAATCAATTTCAAGTCCAAACATAAGTTTAGATTTAAAGATTTAAAAACATGTTCTCTCTTACAGTTTTATGTGCTCATTATTGTAACCCATTTTTCAAGGGAGGATTAAGGTCATAAGCACCAACTAATTTAAAAACTACAATAAAAATCAATTATTTGGAAGTGATGCCATTAAATACAATCCCAAGATTTTACTAAGACGCAAAGGACAATGGCACGGGGTTTTGAGCCTACGTAATGTGATGGCTTTGTGGGAGCCTAGCCAGTTTGGATGGTCACCTTCCTAGATATGAACGGAGGGGGAGGTTTCTTACCACAGGGCAGAAAACCCTGACTGCTCTTTGGACTGGAGAGGGAGGGGGAAAGGAGTGGGGGGAGGGGGAGAAGGGTGGGAGGAGGGGGCGTAGGGTGGGAGGAGGGGGAGGGAAATGGGAGGCTGGGAGGAGGTGGAAACTTGTTTTTTTTTTTTCTCCTTTTCTCAATTAAAAAAAAAGATTTTACTGTTCAATGTAATAGAAATAAAAGCAATCAAAAGTTCGGGTTTTCTTTGTTAGTTCTCTGTTCGGTGTTATGTGGATGGACAACAAAGAGTTCAGAGTCCAATACCATCCACACCACTGCATTTTGTGCCTCACTGGTATGTTGGGTTATGGAGGTTACATGAGGAAAGGAAGCTTTCTGGGAATTTTGCCTTTAGAGGTCTGCCATGGTGAGTTTGAACTGTCAGCTTGAAATGGTCTAGAGTCGCCTGAGAAGAAGGGGTTCCTAAGGGGTTGCCTAGGTCAGGTTAGCCTGTAGACAAAGCTGTGGAAGATTGTCTTGATTGCCTTAATTGATGTAGGAGGACTCAGACCGAGGAGGCTCCATTGCCCGGCTTGGGGCCCTGGGCTGTGTAAGAGCAGACAAAGGTGACTGAGCACTGAACATGCCTGCCTGCATATTCTCTCTCTCTCTCTCTCTCTCTCTCTCTCTCTCTCTCTCTCTCCGGATTTGACTGTGGTGTGTAGTGTGACTGGTTGTTTCAGGTTCCTGCACTGACTTCCCCCAATGATGAACTATAATCTAAAACTATGAGTTAGAACGAGCACCTTCGACCTGCCTTGCTTTGTAACAGGATTTATTGTTATTATTATTATTATTACTACTATTATCATTATTTTGCTTTTTTTTTTGTTTTTATCATGGCAACAATACCTAAATTGAAACAGGGCCTTATCTTTGGTTAAGGAATAATTGAGAAATGGGACTCACGCTTTATAAACAGAATTAAATGATTTGTACCACAGAGATCACCCCAGCTGAGGCACTGGGCTCCCAAAGAGTTTAAAACTTAGCCTCAGGGCCAAGCTAGCGATCAATGCCCAATTGTCCCCTGAGATTTCAAAGCTAAGATGTTGCTATGACAAGAATTCTTATGTGACAGATGTATTTGATTGCAATCTGGTAGCGGTAATTGAGAAAACCTTTTTATTACACTGGAAATAGACATCAAGTCTAGAACATAGGTCTATGAAAAAAGGAGCTGAAAGCTCAGCCCTCCTTTCAGCAGGACCACCTCTCCCAGCATCGTGCTATAGCCCACAGGGCTTTTGCTTTTCTAGTCTCTGCCCATTTCTTGGAAGCACAAAGGCGCCAAAGCCTTCAGTATCTCCTTTCTCATATTGTCAGGGTAATTGGTCACAGGGATAAATCAGTAAATTCAATACAGGTTACATTTAAAGCACTCTCCCCAAAATTTCATAGCCATTTGACAATAAAGGTGGTTTGGATATAATGTGCCTTTTATGAAAATAAAGAGATTTTATATGGGGTATCATGGGTTACAGGGACTTTAGTTAGCAGCTGCTATCTGCAGAATGACTGACGTCCTTTTCTACATGCTGATTGAAATCAGAGTTTCTCTGTCTTAAATTGCAAATGTCACTTATTCTGATATCAGGTGCCACCCTCGATGATCTATGTAAATGTAATTGTACTAATGTCCTTCAAATAAAATTTATTCGGATTTAGGTATGCCTGTTCACACAGTTTGAATACCTTCTGTCATTATGGTGTGTGTGTGTGTGTGTGTGTGTGTGTGTGTGTGTTTGCGTAATGGATTACTAAACAGAAACACCAGCTAGTCAAACATTTTTATGTTCTTTGTTCATATAAAACAAATAGGAAAACCACAGATAAAGGAAACGGCAGGCGAAGCTTGAGAGAGCAGCAGAGCTGGCTTGGCATTCTCCCCGGTTTATAACTGACAACTCCAGGAAAGATCGGGCTTAGTTAAAGTCCTCTTGGGTTACTGGCTAGAGTTGAGTACCACAGACCTCTCAAAGCTGCGCCTCTCCCTGACTCACACCAAGAAGTGGCAGGTACAATTCTACAAAAACACTAGGTAACCTGAACCAGGAGCTACCTGGAGTGGTCTTTATGTCACTTCATGAGAACAGCTGTCCCTGGAATACTCACATTCCAGCTGCAAGAATGACACAATCCTTAGAAGACAATATTGCTGGGAATCTTTAGGACCAGCGATTCAGAGGGTAACTGCACAGCTCTTGTCTCTGGAATATTCATATATTACAGGTAAAGGGGTCTCTCTACTGCTAACATCAACCAGGAAAATCTAAATCCAATTGCATCTGTGCAATGCATACTTACATTTCTCATAAATTTTCTCCTTCTTTGTCCCCTCCTTCCTTCCTTTCATGAGATGCTATACTAATGTAAAGATACTTTAAGTGAATTATGAAACCTAACAAACACTATATTCACATCTTAGTAAGAATATCCCAAGAGCAACAACCACTGTGCCCAAATTCTTTGAGAAGATTACATCTTTCAGTATCAAAGTCATGAAGTATTATTCATGAGTTACTCCATTTGCATGGCTACATGCAGTATTCCCCATCAGTTACCCTGTCTGTATGACTGTCTGTCTTGCATCTTTTGGTTTGTTGTTGTTGTTTGTTTTGTTTTGTTTTTCGAGACAGGGTTTCTCTGTAGCTTTGGAGCCAGTCTGGAACTAGCTCTTGTAGACCAGGCTGGCCTCGAACTCACAAGATCCGCCTGCCTCTGCCTCCTTTGTGTTGGGATTAAAACCATGTGCCACCACCGTCCAGTTTTGTCTTATATTTTTTTCAAAGGCCATTTAGATGTCCATGTCTAACATGAACAAAGTATGGTTTACAGGATACACAACATTCAGTCATGGAATTTACATCAGAAACTAAATCCCAATAGTCTCTTGTCAGAAAATAAATATAAGAACTTAATCCCATCAATGTGAAATTGATTAAAATAGTTCTTAAGCTACAATGAATTTGCCTAAATATTAAAAACCAGACAAACAAAAAGACTGGAGAAGGGACTTGGCAGTTAAGAGAACATACTACTTTCTCAGGAGATCTTAGTACAGCTCCCAACACTCACATCAACTCCAGATCAAATCCAAAGGGGATCAGAGGTCTCTGTTCTCCATGGCACCTGCCCTCAAGCACACCTGACCACATACAGACTCTCTCTCTCTCTCTCTCTCTATCTCTATCTCTCTCTCTCTCTCTCACACACACACACACACACACACATACACACACACATAATTTACAAAAGAAGAACATGACACATTCAAACTCTTGAGAGTCTGGAAATAAAATGATTTGTGATGACAGAATTATAACTAGTTATTCATAGTTGGTTTAATACCTGTAACACTAATCTCTATAAAATTAGTCTACTTATCTGAGGTAAGATTTTTGAGAAGCTCAAGCTAGCTTTGAACTTATTCCTTTTCTACCTCCAGTTCCCAAGTGCAAAGATGACAAGCTTCATCACCACACTCACTGGATGCTGGAAATCAAACTCAGGGCCTCATGCGTGCCAGGCAGGCACCATAGCAACTGAGATATATCCTTAACCCTAACAAAATTGTAAGAAGAAAACTGTTTTATGTTTATTTACCTGTCGTGTATGTGTGTAGTGGTGTTTCAACTGTATTTTAATAAATAAAGACTGCTTGAAGATCTGAGAGTAAAACAGTCCCACTGCTCAGCCTTACAGATCAGGTTATGGTAACACACACCTTTAATCCCAGTAGCCATAATGACACACACCTTTAATACCAGCAGCACACTAGTTGCTATAGAAACTGAGCAGTGCATGTCTTTAATGACGGTGGTGCATGCCTTTAATCCCAGCCCTAGAGAGGAGTATAAAACAGGGGAGACAGCTCTCAGGTGCAGCATCGTTCCGAGATTCCAGTAGGCAAGATTGTCCTATCAGACTGAGGTCGAAGTAAGAGCCAGTGGCTGACTGTTTTGCTTTTTAGATCTTCAGGTTGAACTCCAATTTCTGACCCTGAGATTTGCTAATCATGCTTCGTATGTGTGGATTCATGTGTTGGTGGCCAAGTGCAACAGCGCACACGAGAGGTGAGGGAACAGTTTGTAAGAGGTGGTTCGTTTCTTCCACCACGTGGGTCCAGGGTATCAAACTCAAGCTGTCGGCCTTGACAGCAGGAACCTTTCTCTACGAAGCATCATACAAGCCCAGAAGCTTCTTTGCAGCACTTATCACTCTGAGTCAGTGTCCTTTCATAACCTCTAACAGATTACCCATCCTGTGTGAGAGGAGCAGCTCTCCATTGGAACTAACAAGAGAAATGCCTATTCCAGATCTCCCATAGGGTGGGATGGGGATTCAAATAAGTACTACCGGAAATATTATACCATGGCAAAAGCGCTGGGATCCCACAGAACCAACGTGCTCTGAGCTGTACCAGAGTCGGTCCAGATAGTAGCCTTCTCCTGAAGGACCAAGAACTTGGGAATTAAACTATTGTGTCTAACGATTGCTTAAAGTCATAAAGAAAAAAATATATGTGTTTGTGGCCGTTATCTTCTCATACTGAATCCTGAGAGGCGCCTGTGTACACGGGTCTTTTTCCTATTATTGTATGAAGGTTTGGTTTGTGTTTTGTTTTTTGTTTCAGAAACTGGGCCCTCTTTGATCTCAGGAGAGGAATTCCTTTTTACTTGGTGCCCTACAGGTTTCTACTGAGATCAAATGAATGTAAGTTAAATACTAAAATTAAACTGACCACCGATGTTAACAAAATCTTTCCCACTCCACTTAACTTACTTGACTGGGCTATATGAGGTGGAAAAATCTCTTACCTGTAACACTCTGAAGAATCTTGGATCATTGTCTGAAGAAATGATTGATTCAAAGGAAGCAGGGGAGCGTGCCAAATAAAACTGGTTTAAAAACTCCCTAGTGGTTGGATTTGAAGCAGTTGCTTATGGCTGATACATGTGATGCTATACAGAAGTTAAAAATACGTTTTAGCCCAACAGACTGAAACACAGATGAGATTCTAGTCTGAGATAAGAGAAAAGCACCCTCGCATTCCTAGACAAAGTGCTCACACAAGTAGCAAGCAAACTGATGGAGAAAGTTTCTAGTGGTTTGGTCTGTCTGGAACTGTCCAGCCCTCCTCTGCCTCTGCAGTAACTGCAGTTCCTCCTTTGATGAGTAGGCCGCACAGCAGGAAATCACACGAGACACACTTCTCCTACAGTCACATCGATTCCTACTCCGTATTAGACTGCACTGTGTGGTCATGTATATTAATGGCATGCCTTGACCATGCCATGCCTGGCAGGGCAGCACCTATGTCTGTCTTCACAGCGTTTAGCATACACGCTAGGGGCCTCACAAGCAGGACATGACCTAAGACACAATGTGTAAGGGCTAGCCAGAAACTTTGGTCAAGGGTAAGATCTGAGTATGTTATCTTAGGAAGTGAAATGAACACAAAGAGAGAAACTTCGACGGATAAAATAAGAACATGTTGAATGGGAGCAGAATCAGCATGCCTGGTTTTCCCAGTCACCCCCAGGTCCACTGCGGCTCCGGACAGCATTGCCAGTAAATATTTGTTAGCACATTCCCATTTTAGCAGCAGGCGTCTCCTTTTAGTTACATAATGGCCGGCACAACACAAACAAACAAACCACCTAAAACAATCGCAGGGATAAAGACGGCACAGAGCTTTCTGTTTAGGTCGGATGCCTTCAGGGACACTTGTTTGCCTCTTCTCTGGTCTTGTAGGAAGGTGCTGGTGCTTCTGATTCATTAGCAGGTGATGGGGGAAGGTGTTACCTGTGAGATAACACTCAGCTGGTTTGTGACAGTTCCATTGGTACCTATTCTTAGCTCTGTTCTCAATTTGCTTTCCTGATGTGGGGACATCATTGAAGCTCATGATCGAGTGCCATTATCCAAAGATGACAGGGTGGAGGGGCTGGCATGTCCTTTCCCTAAATATGTGCTGTCATTAATTTTTGCACGTTATACGCCTTTGCTTAGGAGAAAGCTGGGCTGCTTTGGGAACTAATTCTAGAAGTACTGAAGGAGCTTTTGTAAAATGTCTGACAGTTAAAAGAGCTTTTAGAAATATCTGTCCAGCTCTGGGGACAGTTGGTTACCAGGTGTGGAAGACACTCAGCACTTATTAGGCCCGTCCCACTGCCTTGCCTTCACACGGAATCTGTGCTCTCCTTTTCACCTGGAAGCCAGTCAACATTCTGGTTCGTGCTCCAAGCTGGTCTCACAGATTTCAGACAAATCTCACATACAGACTCTTTCTATCGCAAACACCTCTTTAACTTTAAAGAGCCATAAGCTGCCACACCTCTACCTACCACCTCGTTTCCTCCCTGCCTCGGTTTAGGTGAAGTCCTCAAAGGTCCATGTGTAAAAGCTGGGTCTCTAGGGTGGCAGTCTTGGGAGGTCTCTGCAGGCCTTTAAATGGTGTGCCCTAGAGAAAAGCTTTTAGGTCATCAGAAGGGTGATCTCAAAGGGGATTCCAGGACTAATTTGAATCCTTCCTTTCTCCCCTTGATTAAGGATATCCACCTTCACTGGGGTACACGCCTCTCCCACTCGGTTGTTATCAAAGAATCACAGACTTGACCTTAGATTTGAACCTCCAGAGCTCGGAGCTCCAGCTAACTTCCCTGCACTTTTACAAGTAGCCTGCTTCATATATTCCATGGTAGCGATAAAGGAAGGACTGATGTACCTCTCAGATCCAGGTCAGCATCCCAGATATCTACCACCTCTTCCCATGGAAGATAGGAAGAGAAAGACAGCTCACACAAAATACAACAGTGGAAGGAACAGAACCAAGTGAACAGAGCTTGCAGGAGAGAAATGTTACAGACTCTCCTGCCGAGAATTCTCTGTCTTTACTTGGAAAACGTCATGTCATGTAGAGAAGGCAACTTGTTTAAAAAGTACTTCCCCTAACTGGTGAAACGTGGTAAGCTTGAAGCAAAGCATGAGATGTCAAGAACGAGACAATTTTATGATTCCTTCCTCATCTAAAGCCCATGTTATGATAGTTTGGCCCCCAGATCATGGCACTATTGGAAATGGAATTTCTGAGATATTATCAAGGGGGGGGAGTTTCAGGCCATTGGGAACCTGCTGTTGAGTGAGACATTGGAACATCTAGCTTCTCTTCCATGAGGTGAATGTTTTGCCATCATGGTGACATAATATGCCACCTCGTTGCATGCCCGAAACTACCCACCACTGGCCTGCTAGTGTGAGCTGAAATAAACCTCTCCCCTTTCCAAGTATTTGTTACAGTTCAGAAGGTTAACTGCCACACTCCTCTTTCCGCCTCCTCCCTTCTGCTACTTCTTTCAAATGGAGCCATGACGTAGCCCTGAAATTCAGATATTGAAAGTCTGAACCAGCAGTTCTCAACCTGAGGGTGGCAACCCCTTGGCGAGTCACATATCAGATGTTTTCATTATAATTGATAAGGGTAGCAAAACTGCAGTTACGAAGTAGCAATGAAATATTTTTATAGTTGGGAGTCCCCATGACGTAAGGAATGGTACTAAAGGGGTGCAGCGTTAGGAAGGTTGAGAACCACCGATCAAAAGGCAGATGGAACTCACTGATAGGGTGTGAGGAGAGCAGCAGAGGTCAGTATCCCCGTCTCTACCATCTCGATGGCCTGCTTCATCTCAAGCTTCTTATACAAAGAAACGATGCTTGATTTCGGCAGGTTCCTCCGGATTAGAATTTTCCGTAAGTATCTATGATCAAACTTCTTGAACCTAAACATTAAAACAAACATCTCCATGTGTGTTGTGGAAGTATAGATTTATCTCTAAACAACTGACAACTGAAATTCCATTCTGAAAAATGTCAAGTGCCTTAAATTCATCACATTTGAACACATTTTCTTTTTTTAAAAAAAAATTATAGCATTTATGCATTTAAACAAAAAAAAGAATGGCCTAGTGGCCAGGATACAATGAAATCAACTAAACAAAAAGAAAGGGACAAAGTACAATCAGGGCAGAAAGTGTGCATAAGAGGTGGGGGAAGAGCCCTACTCAGTTCTAACTGTAAGACAAGAACTGAAGTGGCTGAGGCTTTTAAAAAAGCTTTCTCTCCTAAAGGCTCCCAACAACAGCTGCTTCTCTTTCAGTCATCTAGGTCTGTTCAGCCAGAACCCAGCAACTTTAAATTGACTGCCAGTTAGAGCAGTTTTGCCTCATTGTGTTGCGGATCACTTTGAATCTTGCCAACGAAGGAAAAGAACTTCCCCCTGCCCCCATCAAATGTCTCAGCAATCTGAATAAAGGAGAGCTAGCTGAGTACTGTTGCAAACATCTGGTCAACCCATTAGTCTAAGCTATACACTTGCAATGATGCCTTGGGAGCTTGTCTAGAGTCACAATTTTCAATGCTTCTAATCATTTCACATTCAAAGAGGAGTTTTCTGCCTGCTTCGTTTTTTTGGTAGGGAAACACAGCTTCCTGGAATGCTGGCTCATTGTTTAGTGTTTAATTCCCTGGACCATAAGGTCAATAGACACCATCAGTTAAGTCCTTTCTGTGCATGGAAGACTGACCTCTAGAGCGTTGTCATCTTTTTGGCTTAGATCCATAAGTTCTTTACAAGGAGGTCACCCCTCGACCTTCTGTGCTTGGTCATGATATGCTATATGATTCCTCCTCAAAGCTCTGTAATCAGCACCCCCCTCTGCCCTGAACCTGTCTTAACAATGGCATTTGACATTCTTCTTCTGAGTCCGTCTTGACCTTGTACTTGCCATCTCCTGTGACTGCCATTGTCCCCACCTCGTTAACCACTTAGGTCTCCTGATGTGCCAGGTCATTCCTTCCGTGTTGGCTCTCTCCTGCCTCCCTCCCATCCTCTCTCTTGGCTTCTCCCTGACTTCATCTGTTCCTCCATTTCCTCATCAGCTCCATCAGAGAGAGAGAGAGAGAGTTCTGAGTCCTCTGTTCAGTTTGTCCTCACATCTTTGATGAAAATCGCACATATGCCCATAATGTAGCTGCTAACTACTTGCTGATGACTTACCATCTGTCTCCAGCCACATTCCTCCAGTTTGAGATTAAAAGAATCCATTCAGAAACGTGGGATGCAGTGAGCAAAAAGGCTTAGGCATTTCAGAAGAATTGCCATTCATGAATGACTTTAGAGGTTTCCAACTAGGGTTTCTTCAGGCCCTTAAAGAGTCACTAAACTCATCCCCAACTTCATGAACTTGAGTATCGCATGGTTGAGCTACTGTTGTAAGGGGACAGGCATTGTCTTTGTTTCCAACCTTAAATATGACTTTCTACTTTCTGTTTACTGCTTGGGCTAGTCCTCTTCAAAACAACCTGCCCCACCTCTACAGCTTCCTCCTGACACCTCTCATCTTCCATGCTAGGCACACCCAGCTGTTTCTTGTATAGTATAATTCTGGGTCCTCCATCTTCCTGGCTCCCTTTACCTCAAGGCATCATACTCTGGAAGCTGTTATTAGGCAATGAAACCCTAGCCTACTTACTTGTCTCTCACTTGGTAGTGACTCCATTGGCCACACACATCTTCAATCCCAGCCTTCAGATGATCCATCAGCTGCCAAACCAAACATAAGAAATGTTAGTAAAGTATGAACTCCACAAGGCACGCACGCACACACACACACACACACACACACACACACACACACACAACTATAGGCTTTGGAGACTAAGGAAGGCCTTAATTTGCTTAAACATAACCTCTTTCTTAGAACTCTGGTCATGTCATAGAATTTGTAATGCTTTTCATAGTAATTCCTTCTCTTTATGACTGAAAGATTCTGAAGATAAACTTCTTGATAATTTGCACAGAATAGAGTGAGAACAGTGTACCTGGCGCTTGATTTGAATAAGACTTTTCTAGGAAGATCTAGAAGTTTCTCATTATTGAAATCATATGGATGCAAAGCATAATGATCAGCTACTACTTTTTATTTTCATTGTGAAAAGAAAATCTCATGTCTAATTTGCATAGTTTTCCAAATATAATTCTTCAGATGCACTACTATAATAATAATCATACTTGTCCATGTTCCTCACTTTTTCACATCAGATAGATAGGAAGGGAGGCAATGTCAGAAATACCCAATCTTATAAACCAATATAAGATCTTCATATTCATTTTAAAATTCAATCCTTTAGTCTAGGAATTTACAGTTCAAAACACAAGTCAATTATACCATGTTTGTTTTGTTTGTAATAATTTATAAGAATTTTGGTGGAGATATAATCTTAAGATCTTCTAAATAGATCTACAAATAATTAAAAATTATTCAGGTTTATGACAGTTGCAGTTTTATTTTGAAAACATAAAAAAATGCAAAATGGTTACTTAAACATTTAATTGATCTATTGTCTTCTAATGATAGTAATAAAACAGTTTTTGAGGTAGGCTCTGTGTGTGTATAGATCAGACTGGCCTTAAACTCACAGAGACCCACCAGCAAGAGTAAACAAGTCTCGGCCTTTTCAGTGGCACTGGGAGGAAAGAATCAGAGCCTCCTGACATGTACAGTCCCCTGGGGGCGCTTGACAACTAGCAGAAGTAATTCATCGGAAAGGACAGGGCTAACTTACCCGAATGTGAAGCTCTTCATTGATGGATTCTTTTTTATTGGTCTTTCTGACATCCAGGTACCTGACCAGTGGGCCAATTGTGATTCCCTAGATCACAAATAACAAAATAAAGGCATTTCCTGAGGTAAATAATGTTACTATAGAGAACAATTCTATCAACAAAACTATAAAATGCCCAATTTGTATGTGTTCGTTTCTATCTTCTATGGGATTAAATGCATCAAAATTACTTTAATTCCTAGTTCTTCTACACACTCCAACAAAACATATGCTATAATCTATTTCAATACAGTGTCTAGGTGTGTTTAAATAAATCTTCATTACCTCATAACAACATAACCTCAGCTAAACCAGAATATTGTGTTATCAAGTACTAGTTGCTGTCATACTTTCCAAGATAAACAGAGTAACACTTGTTCACGCCTTACCTGGGAACATCGTGATCAATATGTTTTATTGGCCCAAAGAAAATGTATTGCAGAAGTTAAAGCTTTACTGTGAATACGTCTCTAAGTAATTTAGACTCTATCTAGACTCTAAACTTTAGAGGATGAACCAGAAGTCTAAACACCAGATACAGCATCTTTCTTTACATCTTATGAGTTTAACATAGAGCTGCAAAGGAACATATGCATTTAAAATATGAAAGAAATCCACCAACCTGAAAGAATACAGTAAAATATGTAACGACTAAAGTAGCAGTAACAAATAATTTCTTCCTAGGAAAAAGGGACAGAGGAAGCAGAAACGCAAGGGAAAAGCTTCCGGCGCCTCGCACGCCACTGTAGAAGATTATGAACTGATCCTTGACGGAGAAGGGAAAAGTCCGGAACTGGTTACTGACATAGAAGAGAGTAAACACGCCTGGAAAGGGGGAGATACATATTAGAGCAGCAGGGCATGGGTGGTGGCGATGCAGAGACTCAGCAAGGTAGCCTGATCCTCTCACACCCAAGATCACTCACCCCCAACAGACCCTCTCTCAAGGCTCGGCGTTTCTGTGATATTTTGGCTCCTTGAGTTAGAGAATTTCCTTTCTCTCTCTCTCTCTCTCTCTCTCTCTCTCTCTCTCTCTCTCTCTCTGTGTGTGTGTGTGTGTGTGTGTGTGTGTGTGTGTGTGTGTTTGACAGAGAGAGAGATTAAAATAATAAAAATCTTGATTTGATTTAAAATAAATAAGAGTCATATATTTCTAATCTATATCCACATTTGTGGTGCCTTTAAAGCCAGTTATGGATGTCCATGGACTAAAAACCTCTTATCTCGTGTTCAGGAACATCTCCAAGAAGTCTGCAGTTTGAAGGTGAGGTGAGACCACTCTGAGACTATACATGATGGGAAGATCCCTTACACGATGGGCAGACTTGGTGCTTGAGGTTCAGGTAAACAAGTGAGAAAGTTTGCAAGAGTTTAGGGTTGGGGTGGACATGGGATGCTTCTTACTGTCGGTGTGTGTAGTAGTAAATGGAGGTTGGAGGGCAGGAGAATTCATGAAAAGCATGGAAGTGGTTTCCACTGTGCAGATTCCCCAAGGCCATTTCTTCCACAGGAAAGCCACTACTACATACTGGTTCTTGGCAAGCAAGGCTTTTATCATCTGCTAAGGCTTTGAGAGAGTCTTTTAGAAGTGTCATCTCTTTATGTCCCCCTGTGCTTCTAACCCCATATCTCACAGAAAGCATTTTTTTTTATATCGGGCATATCAGACTACAAGGGACAACATAATTTATGGGTTTTGTTGGTGGGTCTATTTGAGCTTCTCTTCACCTGCTAGCCATGTGACCTTGGGCAAAGTTCTGCATCAGTCCCTATCATCAGATACCAGAGACAACAAGAGCACAGTCAGCCCTCAGTTTCTGCAGGAGACAGGACACAGGGCTCTCACTGATGCCCATGTCCATGAATGCCTAAGTCCCTTTCTATTATGTCAAGTGTTTTTGGGTGTAGCCTGTCCACATTCTCTTGGGTACTTGCAGTTGTCTCTAGATTGCTTACAACGTGGTTGCTATGCTGTATTGTCTAGGAAATGATAACAAGAAACAAAGCCCACAAGTATGCAATACAGATGCATTTCTTTCCTCAAAATGATGGAGCTGTGGTTGGTTGAAACCACAGCTGCAGAGCCAACAGATACAGAAAACCTAGTATACTTACCTAAGTTTGCGGATGAAAAGTTAAAACAACACCTTTCTGATATGTAACGGAAAACATTGCCTCTTAGACATAAGCCTTCGTAATCAGTAGCTATGGTTAGAGATAATGAGTTGGGAAGGAGAGAAAACAGGCAATGACCTGTATTCTCACCCTTGCTCTTAAAGCCATGGTGGCCTGCCCAAGCCAGCCATTCTCTAAACTTTGGTTCATCAATTCTCTATTAGAGGGTTACAGTGAGGGGCTGGATGATCACTCAGGGTAACAGAAGCCTTCCATCCGGATGGCTCCTTTTCCTGTTTGCTTGGCTGACTCTTTCTCACTTCACTTCTCTTGACATTAGTACTGCTTCCCTGTAGATCTGGAGAATATCATAACAGGAAGGGATTGATAATTTTATCCAAACCTGTTATTTTTAGACTGAAGAACAAGACTTTAAATAGATAAATGTCTGTCCAGCTCCAAATAGTGAGTCAGCAATCACACCAAATTCGATGTGAGATTTTAAGTTTATATCACAACAGCATTGATTTTTCCACCAAAAATTAGCATATATTCAGCTACTCTTCGTACTGTTTTAATATTTCTATATTCTTATCATTTTAAAAAATTTTAACATTTATTTTATGTGTAAAGGTGTTTTGCCTTCATATATGTATGTGTGTGCAAAACATGTGTGCAGTATCCATGGAACATTAGATCCACTGGAACTGGAGTAACCGATGGCTGTGAGCTATCATATGGATGCTGGACCTCACACCCAGGTCCTCGAGAAGAGCTGACAGGGTTCTTAACAGCTGAGTCATCTGAGCCCTCTTGTCTTTCTCTTTGCAACCCCAAAGCTATTATAAATTAATTTTAATATATATTAAAAATTGACTGAAAACAAGTGGTAAAATTGTTTAAAATATAATTTCTAAAATAATCTCTCTGTCTCTGTCTCTGTCTCTGTCTCTCTCTCTCTCTCTCTCTCTCTCTCTCTCACACACACACACACACACACACACACACACACACACACAAATATCTATGGATCCTGTGGTACAGAACTTGCTTTAACTCCACAACTCAGCACATATCAATGGGTTAATCTCAATGATTTTGAAGCCAACCTGATCTATATAGTGAATATCAGACTAGCCACGACCACACAGTAAGATCCTATCTCAACTATATTATATGTAATGTATATTAGAGATGGGCTTCTTATACATACAACCTTGCTTCGATGGTATAGAAAATACTTGTCTCTATCTCAGCCTCTGTTCCCTTTGTAGATTCATTTATATTCTTCTAATAAAAGGCCAGAATAGATAATGTAAGTCAGTGCTAATGAGTTACATTACTTCTATCTCCTGAAATATAAGTGTATAGCAACCACTGGATCATATTCCTTATAATAGGAATAATTTCCGGAAGTGAGGTTATTTATAGTATTGCTGTCTTTTCTAATTAATGTTATAATTAAGAGTGCTCACCTTCTCTCTCTCTCTCTCTCTCTCTCTCTCTCTCTCTCTCTCTCTCTCTCTGTGTGTGTTTATACACAGAATCCAGAGGTGGGGGTGGGGAGAGGTCATTGTCTCCCTTAATCTTTTCTCTGCCTTATTTTTGAGATGGAGGCTTTTGCTGAAACTGAAACTCACTGGTTGACTGGACTGGCTGACCACAAACAAGCCCCAGGGATCTTCCTGCCTCCCTCTCCAACATCCCCCATCCCTGCCCTGGAATCTGAGGCATGGGTAGCAATTCCTGGTTTTCGTGAAGGTTCTGGGGTCCTCATTCTAGTGCAGCAAGCACATTACTGATGGAACAATCGCCCCAGTCACCCAAAATGAGCACTTTAAAAATAGTAATTCACTCCTTGATCCTTCGCTGGCTTTATAGCCATCACTCGCCCATCCCTTAGATCAGCTGCACTACTTATGCAAATGCGTCCTGACTGTGTTGGTCTTACATAGATACAGTTTGTGTGAGATCTCACTTATCCGGTATCAGAAGTGTAAATGCCTACAGTTTATCATCTATATCTGAGTTAACATCTAAGAGGCTACAAGCTGGCAAGGAAGCGGGGCAACAGATATATTTACTGAGTTATTTTTAAATGTGTCCATGTGAAAGTGATCTCGCTCGTCAAAACACAAAATATTCCCTACTCCATCCTCGCTTCTGAGAACCTCTAGTCAGCTGGTGGCTCTGGTTTGACTGAGGAGGGCAAATTAACCGTTTCTGGTCAGTAAGGATGAGCTGTCTACACTCCCCTGTGCCGGGAAATCATAGCATGGGCTCCCTCCTTCTGGTTCAACACGGGGAAGAAGCAGGGCAGGAGCGTGTGGGAGCCCTGGTGTCCCTTACTGATGGCTCTCCAGATCTGGCAGAAGACCAGTGTGAAGCAGATGAATGCCCAGTTCCACTCGTGGTTCTTCCCGATGGTGGACACGCCCATGAAGATGAAGATCAAGGTCTCGCTCACGCTGCTCAGCATCTTCATGAAGTACTTGATGGTCGTGTAGGACGTCTGGGACACGTTCTCCTCCACGTACTTTTTCATTGTCACCGCACAAGCTGTGATTCTACGAAAGAAGCAGAGACTCAGGGAGAAACAGGACCGCCATACCACAGAGGTTACCTGCGGAACGCAAGGCTTTATATAGAGCAAGCCCACCTCGTTCCAGAATCTGTGTCTCATCCTGTCTTTGGGTCTGTCGGTCTCTGACTGTGGACCACAGATTTGGTGCCTTGCTCTTCAACCAGGTATAGGAAAAAGCAAGTGTGGTAGGAAAATAGGTGTGGCATGGCCTTCACACAAAATACACACACACACACACACACACACACACACACACACTGGTAGGTCGTTCACTCAGGAAAATCGGAAGCAAAATGCAACCCTTGCTAGAGAATACTTGACTCCGCCTTACACCAAATTAAATCTACTTCAGTTCAACAGACTGAACACTCAGTATGCTCTCTTTTTTAACTCAACATTCTCCTTGCCTCTGTCTCCTGGGTGCTGCCATTACACATATACTCCATCCAGCTCTCAAATGGTGCTTCTTAAAAACAGCAACATTATTTAAATATTTCAAATGTTTCTTTTCTGGATCCATTTACCTTGGATAGAATAAAGAAAACCCTTTTCTTATCCTCAAAGTTGTGGTTGTTTTGAGGTGCAAAAATAATGGTACCTAAAGTCCATATTATTATATTTAATGGGCATAAGGATTTTTTTTTTTTAGATTTTTCGAGACAGGGTTTCTCCATAGCTTTTTGGTTCCTGTCCTGGAACTAGCTCTTGTAGACCAGGCTAGCCTCGAACTCCCAGAGATCTGCCTGCCTCTGCCTCCCGAGTGCTGGGATTAAAGGCGTGCGCCACCACCGCCCGGCTGGGCATAAGGATTTTTATATTATACAGTTAAAGCTTCCTTCCTGGGTAGAGACCAGACGTAAGAAGCCAAACTGAGAAGCCTCATTCTAGGAGACACATTCCAAGGATATGGGGTTGAGCATTTAAACAAATGCCTTCATTAGGACAAACAACTGGACCTCAGCACGTAGCCCACTTACCCAGCTTTACTCTTTCCTGGGGAGAGTGTGACTTAGGATAGGGTTGGAGAGGAGCAGCAACAGCTGAACCCAGAGTGGAAGTTCCTTATGGCATGTCTTCCATCTACCTTAAAATTATTACTATTGTTGTTGCTGCTGCTGTTGTTATCATCATCATCATCATTATTATTATTATTATTATTATTATTATTATTATTATTATTTTGAGACAGGGTCTCTCTTAGCTGTCCTGGAACTCATTATGTAGACCAGGCTGGCCTCAAACTCATAGAGCTCCACCTGCCTCTGTATCCTGAGTGCTGGGATTAAAAGTGTGCTCCACCACGCCCGGTTCTAAAATTAATTCTTTGAGGGAGAAAAGAAGCTGCTCAGATGGCCTTGAAGCTTGAACTGTTCCAGCTCTTCCTCGCACCAGCTTTCCCGAACGTTTTAGATTGTCAGTCTGACTGCTAGAGTTCCTCAGGCAAATGTCGCAGAGAACATTTGTTTGGCAAGGGCTTGAGTCAGCTTTCAGAAATGTAAGAAATCCTAAACTCTGCAGTGCCTCGGGGGACTAGTCTCGGGCTTTGCCCAGAAACACAGGCTACCCAGCTCCTAAACCCTCCGCCTATTTCCCTGGGTCTCCTTCCACCGAGTGTACTCACGCCAGGATGCCGGAGAGATAAAGAGTCTCGGCGGCTAAGTACGACAGATAGCTGAACATGAACACGATGAGGGGCTCAATTGCAGAGATATTCTGGGTGAAACGTGTGATAAAAGCCGAAATGAACCCAAAAATAATGCCGAAAAAAACTCCCCCGCAGCCCACGATGACAAATCTGGCGCACCCAGCCAAAATGTCCACAGGTTCTATGTCCTCAAATTTATGCATCTTAGTGAAGGCGATTAGTATGTTGTATAAGACCTGGGAAAACAGAAATGAGAGAAACAGGAAATAGGCGTTAGAACTTGTTACACATGGACTCTCTCAACTCGGCATTCCGTTAAACAGAGTACCAGAGTAAAGGGCACAGATATTAATACAGCTACCCAGTTTTTAAATGCACTGCAACATATGTAGACCCATCCAGATTCACTGAAGAAAAGGGAAGTATTTGGATATCGATAATCAAGTGCACGACAAATGTTTGAAGAGGTGGGGATACTAATTATCTCAATTTGACTATTACATATTGTACACACATATTGAATTATATATTTCACCCCATGCACAAGAACAAAGGAAAGTAATAATAATGATAATAATAATAATAATAACTCCTCTCTGTGTGCCAGTTTCTTTGCTGAGATTCCTGTTTCGGTTAATGTATTGCCTCCCTGCTTTGGGCATTCACTTCCTAGCTGTATTATAAACCTCGCAATTTCTTTTAGTTTTCCCTTTAAAGTAACCAACAAGGTTAAACTCCCTCAGCAGAGAGCAGAAGGAGCACAGGGGAAAGGGGCTTCTTGGATGTTCTTTAGGTCCCTCGGGGAGAAGTCAGCCATGTTGATATGACGACTTCCGGTGGAGCCTGCCTGAGTCACTTGCCCAGAAAATAATTCCTTGTGGCTCCTGCCTCTGTAAAAGTCCTAGCATGTGCCACATGCTTGAGTTTAAACCTGCCGGTGCGTTCTCTGCTAGCCCAGCTCAACCTGCTTCCCTGGGTCCAGTCTTCTCCTTTGAAGACTTCTACCCGCTTTGGAGCCCAGAATCTCCACCAAGAGCACTAAGGTTTCATCAAGTCTGGCCATGCTTGCCTTTCAGAAAGTGGCCTTTAGTTTGTCCAGCACCTCTTGGCCAGTCCGAGGTTGGCTGACTCGGCCAACTTCTCGGTTCTCCACTGGTCAATCCACGTCTTTCCCAGTGACATCAGAATCCATGCAGGCTTGTGCACACTGCTAGGCTTCTCCATGCCTGAGCTTCCTTATATAGATGCACAGGGGACGTGCGGCCTCACACATGCTGGGCATATACCCCACTCCTGAGCATTCATCTAGCGCATCTCGAGTTCTTATTTTGTACTTCGAGATAGGATCTTAATAAGCCGCCAATCTGGCTTTGAAACTCATTTTATAACCCAGCAGGTCATGATGGTTAATCTTCACTGCCAACTGAGTAGGATTTAGAATTGCCATGGAAACAGTAATTCCGGTGTGTCTGTGTCTGCCTGTGAGGGAGAGTCTAGATTGAGGTACTGAGGTGGGAAGACTCGCCCTAAATCTAGGCAACGCCATTCTCTGGCTGTGAGTTCAGGACTGCATAACAAAGAGGAAAGGACCTTGGCATAAACACGCATCTCTCTCGACTTCCTGGATGCAGGGGGCAGAGGGACCCATGGCCTCAGTCTCCTGCCACTGCAATGGTCTCTATGGCCTCCAACTGGAATATGCCTCTCCTCTCTTAAGTTGCATCTTGTTGGGTATTTGGTCGCAGCAGAAGAAAAAGTAACTAATTCATAGGCCTTAGACTTGTAATTCCTCTGCCTCTACTTCTCTTGTAGTTGGGAATATACACCATCAGACCAGACTATCTATACTCTTCATTGGAGCCTAACAGCTTTTGAGCTCTGGCTTTGGCGATATCTACAGGGCTTGCCAGACTGCATGCTTCTTCTGCAGACTCTGGCAGCTCAACCTTGGTTTGCAGGCTGCATCAGCTATTCCTTTAGAGTTGATATCCTGATCCTGAGCCCTCTGGGTCTGTTCTAGGCAGTGCCCCTGTTGATTTCCCACATAGAGAGCTTGGCAATTAATGATCATTTACCAATGATTGATTTCTTTATTTTATTATTAATTATATGTAAAAGTGTTTGTCGCAGTGTACCTTGTGCATGTATGAGTCAAACTACATGTGAAATCCAGAAAAGGGCATCATATTTCCTGGAGCTGGAGTTACAGCTGAGTGTGTGCGTGCGGGTGGGCGGGTGGGCACATGCGCGTGCGCATGTATATATATGTGTGTGTGTGTGTACTTGATGAGGGTGCTGGAAACCAAACTTAGGTCCTCTGAAGAATAGTGTGTGCTCTTAACCCTGAGCCATCTCTAACCAGTCATGCCAAAGTCATCTCTAGATTGGAATCTTAACATGAATAAGCAAAGTACATTGAAACCAAGCCTTCTTTAAAGCCACATTCTAAGAAAAGCCTCACGTTCAAGGAAAGTTTCCAGTAGCAAGGGGTCTATGAGGAGGGAGGGTATCCTTTTCCAAGAACCCTGAAGTCAGCATGTACCTTGTTTCATTCACTGTAAAATGGTATGTATGTATGTATATATGCAGGTATGTGTGTGTATGTAGATATGTATTTGTGTATGTATATGAGCTGACTAGTCTTATGTCGACTTGACACAAGCTAGAGTTATCTGAAAGGAGGGAACCTCATTTGAGAAAATGCCTCCAAAAGATCCATCTGTAGGGCATTTCTTAATTAGTGATTGATGGGAGAGGGCCCAGTCTGTGGTGGGTGATGCCATCCATGGGCTGAAGGTCCTGGATTCTACAAGAAAACAGGGTGAGCAAATCATGGGGAGCAAGCCAATAAGCAGCACCCCTCCAGTGGCCTCTGCAGCAGCACCTGCCTCTGGGTTCCTACCCTGTTGGAGTTCCTGCCCTGATTTCTTTCAATGATTAACAACAGTACAGAAGCATAAGCCAAACAAACCCTTTCCTCCCCAACTTGGTTTTTGGTCCTGGTGTTTTGCCGAAGCAATAGAAATCCTAACTAAGTATGTGTGCACTTATTTTCCTGCCTCACTTTGTGAACTATCAGAAATTTTACAGTATGGCCCTCATCCTTTGAGTGTGAGCTTGAGGAGCAGGTAGTTCCTGGAAGCAGCTCAAGAATCTGTCAGCAGACCTCATTCGATACGCCTCATTGACAGCAGACTTCTGATGGGAGAATAAAGCCACAAGGGGAAAGCCCAGAACACATCTGAATATGTGTACTAGTCTTTTCTTTTTAATGTCATAAGCAGCTAGCAGCAAGTTTGACCAGAGATAGAAGTATGAAGAGATTCTATCCAGGCTTCCCTCCTTTCCCCAAAGAGAAGTTTGAACTCATCAGAAGAAGAAGTGGCTGGGGATAATGGAGAAGGAGAGAACAGCATGCGGATTTGCTGGAAGGCAGTATGCACTCACGCATACACACAGACTGGATGGAGTGAATTTCTGAAATAAGATCACTACTTTAAAAAGGAGAGGCTTGCTTAAGGACTCTTGAGTCAGATTAGTACACATGCACGCACACACACACACACACACATGCACACAGAAAACACATACACACATATGTATGTACACTAAAATGCAGAAATATTGAGATGGGGAGTGAGGAGATGACCTACCTGCTTACTCACGGTCCCTCCTACAGAGACCACGGCAAACATTATGCATTTGTCTCTCTTGGTCCTGTGTGTCCTGCCTGTGTGACGCGGGTCATCAGTTTCTGTGCCTGGGGCACTCAGAGGTCCTCAGATCTCTGGCTGCAGAGAGGGAAACTCACCGCCACCTATACTTAATTTCCATCAGTTGTCTCCAAGGAGGACCGAGGTGGCACGGACACTAAAGAGGTACCCTTTCCAGGAAGACAGATACTCTTCTGATGATGCCCTCAGTCTGAGGGCTCTACAAGGGTGAGGTAAACTCTAAGAAAGTCAGAAAGACAGTTCCTGCCGCCTTCCCTCCTTCCTCTGTGTGTCAGAGGCCAGGCTATCTGGTTTTCAGGGCTGTCTCTCTCTCTCCAGCTGCCCTCCAAGGGAGTCTCCCTAATTACGCATTACACATCTGATACCCTCTGGGCGTTTGATCTACTGGTGAGCTAAACAACACCTATCAAAGGATTTATGTACCAGACACGTTTTGCAAAATTTTTCTTATAATTCAAGCAAAGTTTATTGAAGCATGTTTTGGGAAGAGCTTTGATTAGTATTTGAAGTTTGCAATTTGGGGTTTTTGAGTCATTCCAGAAGAAACTGGGCTTGTATCCTGACTCATTTAGTCTCGTATCACTTCCTAGCTGACCGCGAATCAATCCACACATGGGTCTTTGGAACTTTGGACATTGCTCCTTCAGGCTGGATTCACAAAGGAGCGAAGCAGGGCTGCAAAAATGGTTCCACAAACCTACAGAAAGTGGGTTTGAATGCCGTGATGCGGGCACTCATTTGACTCTCAAAGCAGAGGAAATTCATGGACCATAATTGCAGCTCAAAGATTTGCCTATTGTTTCCACAAGCACAAACTCCTTTGCATAGATTTCCAGATTACAAAAGGCTACACAGCCATCAGGACCTACTTTGACCCTGGATTCCAGTGGTGGCGGATATAGAAAGATGTCTTGGAGCTTTCAGAAACTAAGTGTCACCACAACTAACAGACTACTTTTACACACAATTCATACTATTCTGTGAAAAATCTTTGCCTTTCAAAAATAGCAATATCTGGCTATCATTATAATGACAAAGAATTTTCTTTGGATTCAATATATTTCATGTATGAACAAAGACACCAAATCCAAGGTCCCTATAAGACTCATTTGTTCCTCTTATCTCAGGGACAGAGTCATGCTACCTTTGACAAATGCCCCCAGTCACCCATGGCTGTAACTGGAGCCACTGTTCATAAAGCTTATTAAGTGCAGAAACCCCTCACATGATAACTAAGTACGTCAGCTGACCCACTGACACTCAGATGTGGAATGTCAATTCTAAATGCGAACACTTCTCTCCATTTTCTCAACTTGGTGGAGGACTGATTTCCATCTGAAATGAGTGCCTTCTGGCCCTGCTACACACCCTTTAGAAACCACTTTAGTGAATACACAGAGACCATGAACAAAAAGTGTGGACTTGAATGAATATTTCCTCCTTAGTGCTACTCATCTCAGTGTTTAGCGACACACAGTGACCACGACCCTATGACCTTGATG